CCCTCCCCGCGAAGGAAACATGTCCAAGATGCCGGCCAAAAAGAAGAGCTGCTTCCAGATCACCAGCGTAACCACGGCTCAGGTGGCCAGCAGCATCACCGAGGACACTGAGAGCCTGGACGACCCGGATGAGTCCCGCACTGAGGACGTGTCTTCTGAAATCTTTGATGTTTCCCGAGCCACGGACTACGGCCCTGAGGATGTGTGTGAGCGAAGCTCCTCCGAAGAGACTCTCAACAACGTGGGTGAGGCTGAAACTCCTGGCACTGTCTCTCCCAACCTCCTTTTGGATGGGCAGCTGGCTGCGGGCGGTGGGGGGACGACCCGGATGAGTCCCGCACTGAGGACGTGTCTTCTGAAATCTTTGATGTTTCCCGAGCCACGGACTACGGCCCTGAGGATGTGTGTGAGCGAAGCTCCTCCGAAGAGACTCTCAACAACGTGGGTGAGGCTGAAACTCCTGGCACTGTCTCTCCCAACCTCCTTTTGGATGGGCAGCTGGCTGCGGGCGGTGGGGGGGGGGATCCACAGGGCCTTCTGCATCAGCCACTCCTGGGACAATGTCTCAGACAGTGGCTGCTGCATGCAGCTCACGTTTCAGGGTGATCAAGCTGGACCATGGTTCAGGGGAGCCCTACAGGCGAGGACGATGGACGTGTATGGAGTATTATGACCGGGACTCGGATGGTGGTGGTGTTCTGGGCAGGACTGGAGATTGCATTAGGCACAGCAGCACCTTCGAGCAGGCCACTCAAGAGAGGGACAGTGGCCTTGGTGCCACAGGAGGTTCTGTCGTGGTCTCGGCTGTGCCAGTGTCGGCCTATGGCCCCGATTCTATAGCTGACAGTTCCCTGACTGCTGTGTCACAGCTACTCCAGACAGAGAAAATGAACCAGTCCTCTCTACAGCAACCTAGTTTTGTCATTGGGCAACAACAGCAGCCGCAACAACCCATAGGTGGGGCCGTGCCTCAAAGTACTGCTCAGCCTATGTTTTCTGGGGCATCAGTAACAAATCAGCAAATGATGGTGCCACAGCAATCGCAGCCACAGGTAAATACTCAAGGTGTTGCACAGGCTGGACCCAATGGGAAAGGCATGGCACCTCCAAATGTGACAATAGGCCAGCCAAGCATTCCTGTGGCACAGCAGCAGGTGCAGCAGGCAAGCATACCAGTGACTCAGTCTCAACAATTTGCTTACTCTCAGTCCCAGATTCCATCAGTGCATCTACTGCCAACACAGCCTTCTGGTCAGACCGAATACATGCAGCACGTGACAATTATGCAGTCTCAAGGAGCTATTCAACAGGCTACTGCAGGCTCTGTTCCAAGTACTGTGGCTTCCAGCCTTCCTGTGGGGCAGGTGGCTGGCCAAAACCCCTCACCTGTGGGAGCGCCAGTGATGGGGGTGTCAGCGCAGCCCGGTGAAGCAGTTGGACAGGGATCGGGATTAATGCAGAGTGGCCAGACACAAGCTAGTCAGCCTGCCGTTCCGCAACCAGGAGGTGTGGTGCAGCAGGGCATTGGACATACAGGGGTTGTGCAACAGAAATCTGTGACTCAGCATCAAATGAGTGGAAGCAGCCAAGTGTCTGGAATGCCTGGTGCTCCCCATGCTGTGGTCTCTGGCGTTCAGAACGTGCCTGCGGTTGTGCCCGGTACAAGTGTGCCTACTGCGTCTACCACCATTTCTGTTACTATGCCAAATGTCCCTGTTACGCTAGTTCAGTCCCAACTGACAAGCCACACTTCTGTCAGCAGAAGTACCGGTGTTGTCCAGCCACAGCACGTTGGACACTCGTTAATGCAAGGCACCCCTAATGTACCTGCGAATCTGCCACAGTCAAACCTCGGACAGTTTCAGACCCAAGCTCAGTCCTTAGTAGGCCAGATTGATGAGTCTAGAAGAAAATCGGAACCCCTACCTCAGCCACCACTTTCTCTTATAGCTGAAAATAAACCTCTTGTGAAGCCTCCCATTCCAGACACTCTAGCAAATCCTCTTCAGTTACCTGCAAGTACTCCTATGAACAGTCTTGCCAGCTCTGTGTTTGGCATATCTATTCCTGTTGATGGTGATGAAGACAGGTATGAATTATTTTATGATGCCATAAAAATACCTTTTCTTAAGGGGGGGAAAAATTGACTTCCAAGTTACTATCAAGTGTTTTTTGTAAGTTCGTATTTTCAGGAAGCTGTAGTGAAATTTGTCTTGGCTACTTTTTTTTTTCTTTAAGAGTACAAAAAGTGTTTAAGCAAGTGGTGAACTGTACTTCTTAGGCTGTGAGTGTGATTACTTTTCTCACAAAGAAGAAAGTACCGTGGAAGCTGCTTAATGCACAGATAATATGACCTCTTCCAAATAAAAGACTGAAAACTCCTTCTGCACCCAGTTGCTCAGTATGCAAGGGAGTCTGCTCTCCTTTCTCCTGAACACATCGTAAAACACTCAAATGACAGCCAGGTTAAAATGGGTTTATTGACACCACTATATTGCAGTGTTGTTAAGAACAGAAGCTTAGTGCTATCTTGGGATCATTGGGTGAGGTATTTTGGAAAACTTCAACGGATATATAACTTCAACAGCTTATAACAGATTATTGATTTTTATCCTGCTGTTGAGTTTGCACTTTATAGTACCAGTTAGTGAGGAAAGTTCTTGCATCTGGATGTGAATTTGTGTGCCCTTACACAGTGAAAGCTCTACAGATAATGGTTCTTTTGCATTGGAAAAAAAAAAATATCTGCAATTTACTTGGGCAAAGATGTCTATACAGTGGAAAGTACAATCTTGGAATGAGTTTTCTTTATAGGAAAGTGATTTGGAATGGTGAATTGTAACAAAGTGTGTAGTATGAGCAGGCTCATCAAAGGGCCTGAAAGAGGAAGCACAGATGTGAGTTTTATTCCTATAGATTTGTCAGACTGCTTTGAAGGGTAGTGTGATGGCCAAAACTCGTCTTAATTGACTTCTTTCAGAGAAGACTTTCAGGGAAAGCAGTGTTAGAGCACTGAATTAATGTCATTATTATTTACTGTTAGGATTACTGTAGTTTGGAGGGATGAAATATGTGTGGATTATATGTATTTGTGTTTTTAAAAATAGATGTAACACTGTTATGGGAAAGTCTGATGAATTATCCTGAAAGTCTTCCCTCGCCTTGAGAGTACTAGGCTTTGAAATTACACAGTCAGTGACGTTTGGAGTGCCTTTTAGTAAAGCAGCTGCATGTGTGGGGTCAGGGTGAATGGATGGAGAAGGTATTTTGAGAGTTAAATCTGCAGTAATGTAGGCCTTGTGCTCACCAGAGCTTTCGACTAATACTGAGTTTGAGATAGTGACTCTGCAAGCCAAAGCCATGTGTTGGAGAGTTGCGCTAGTTCTGGTTAAAGCAGTAAAGGACTTAAAAGAAAAAGCTAAACAGTTACAATTTTCTAGCAGTTGTGCCTTCCTTAAGAGGATTGCTGACCCAGCTGACAGGCTCTTCCTTGTTGAATAAGGTTAGATTTCAAGCTGGTAAAGTTTTTTCACAGTTCAGTATATTATCAAAAGATGATTTCATAGAATTATAGAATGGTTTGGGTTGGAAGGGACCTTAAAGATATTCTAGGGTTTGTCTTGTGTTTAATCATTCTGATGATTAAGGAGTTGGAAAGAGATAAATGTATTTTGCATTTCTTTTGCATATCGCTTAATACTTCATGTTTATATAAATTCTAGTAACAAATTATTATCTGTGACAAATTAGTCACTTTATATAACAACAAGGAAAAACTTGCCCAACTTACTCAAACCTGTAGGCTGGTCACTTGCGCACCAGTGAGGCAGTTCTAGGTACTCCTACCCCAAACAAGTGATTTTTAAAGTTACTTCTGTAGTTACTTCTGTCTTTGAACTTGAGCCAGCTTGCAACATTGCTTCACACATTCATTTCTAAAGAAACCTATTCAGAAACGTGGCTCTGAGAACTTTGAGTAAGAAATAAGAATGGACTCTAAAAGTAGAGTGCTTTTTTTTGATGTGCCACATAATGATGATCAGTAGAGAAACTAACTGTGGTTATCTGAAGAGAAATGTGTGTTTCTCAGTTGTTTGCTTCTGCACTGGGTGATAAAACCTTGTTGTTTGCTGAAGTGGTACATGAAACAAGGGGCTATATGGTATTTGAAAGTCTCTCCTGGGTTTAAACAGGCCTAGGCTTCATACAAAGTAGGAGATACATGCAGAGCTAGTAAGTCTAAGTTTATTCTTTGCTCCCCTCAAACAGTAGCCTCACTTTGACTGGTTTCAGACAGAGAAAGGAGAAAATAAAAACCTAGCAGCTTATTAAGGCTGTTTTACCACTTCATTTTTATTTGCTCTGCTTGCTGGGAAGGCTTTACTATAAACTGTCTCCTGCTTGCCTGCTGTTACCTTCTTGCTCCTTCTTTTTTTGTCTTTCCAGCCATTTAAATTGCACTGTTACTCCCATGGGCCTGTGCCCAGCTGCTTTATCTACTGAAATCCATGGTGAAATAGTTAATGAAGACCTTCAAGTGTCATTAATAGGCTGGGGGTTGACACTTTGGTACAACTAATAGGACGCAAAGGGAGTTCACACATCATGAGTCATTGTTCCAGGCTGCCTGCAGGTTCAGGAAGTTAATGCTTGGTTTTGTTCAGAGAGTTTACTTTGTGATCATGAGAGCTGCAAATTTGTGGAAGCATTTTTTCTCTTTAATCTCAATATTAATGTGTAACATACCCAGGAAGAGGGGATCAATGTGTAGGCAGGTATCTACATTTTTTCTGACACCTTCAATTATATTTAAATATTTGTACATACTTGAAGCTTGACAAACTTGTGTAGATCATTCTTCTGTAGTCATTCTCTGAAATAGTAATTCATCAAGGAATACTGTAAAGCTTGAAATATCTTGGCTTTATCTAATAAGTCATTCACTGTTTGAAATATGAAGAGGAGCTGTGCTAAAGGGAAAATAATTTAGGATGGGAATTCTTTGAAAACAGAACCTGAGAAAACCAGTAAGTATGAGACAGAGAGGTCTGATATAAAAAAAGCTGGTCAGTTCCTGCCTTTCCTGTCTTATGATCTGCTGTTTTAAATAAAACTCTTTAAGACAGAGGTGGAGGTGTAAGTTTATATAGCCATAGTTCTATGTATCTGTAGATGTACAACTGAATTATTTTTTTTTTTTTTTTGCAAGGCTTTGCCTGAAAACCTTTGATTTTCTATTCTGTTAGTCCAGTCCACTTTTACACTGGTCTAGATAAAATTGTGGTTCCTTGCATTGGCCAGGTCACTAACAAAGGATCAATTAAGAAATCTTATCTGAGGGGAAGAGAGGGCCGCTAGATGGTCCAAAAGAATTAAAAAACCAACCAACCAAACAAAAACAAAAAAAAAACCCAAAAAAACCCAACCTAAAAAACCCAAACAAAAACCAAACCCCAAACAAAAAACCCCACCCAATAATAAACAAACTTTGGCATGTCACACCTTCTTTTAAAAAGCACAGCCTTTCTTGCTTTCTTTTTCAGTTGATGTGTCTAAATTGCTAAGCTCTTAGAAATATGTTCTGTGGAAGTTATGAAAGATCTATAGGATAGCAGTTTTATTTTCTTTTCCTCTCTAAATGTGGCTACAGGTAGAATAAATGCAACAGTATTTAAGAATGGAGGAAATGGTACTCTTATTGAGGCAGGTGTGGATATTGCAGTCAGTCCACTTTAAATTTGGAGTCTGACAAATACTATAAAAACACACAACTGGATCTCCGAATTGCCCTGACTCTTCATTTGCTGGACTTCAGCAGCAATACTGGTTGATTTGGCTGGAGGGCAGTTAGAGTACCTGAGAGGATTTTAGGAGCAGTGTATGTTGGTTTCTCTACCCACGTTTGTGCCCATGGTATACAAGTTTATAGTTGACAAGCATAATATTCCAGCTGGCTTAATAACTTTATTTTGGCTCTTGGGGGAAAAAGAAATATGTTGCCTCTGTTAAAAGAATGTTACTGAGAAAGCTTGTTCAAACCTCCTACATGTTTGGCAGACTTTTGGGGCAAAATATTACTAAGCATGTTGGAAAAGGAACAGAGTATAGATCATTTTCCAGAGATAGCTGACCAGCTTGAACTGTGCAGGCTGTATTCCAGGAACGCTAATGAATGGCTGCAATTGTGAACTGTCATCTACAGCAGCTTAAACTGCTGAAAACCTGATTGTGCAGACTTCTTCACACCATATATCTCTTCACTCAGCTAAATCATGTAATTGTATAGTGTACAAACTGTTGATAAAACTGAGCTTTTCAGACCATGTTCATAATATAAGGACAAAACTGAGCATGGGCATTAATATAACTTTGATATGGGTTTCCTTACACGTTGCCTTAGATGCATATTTTATTGTACTCCTAAGGAAAAAAGAAAGCATCCTGCAAATAATGAACCAGTAAGCAACATTTCAGTTGCATTATTACTGAATACTGTCCATTGCTTCACTTTGCTCATAAACTTGCTAGAGATTTGAGCTCTACTGCAGCTGCAGACTTGACATTTTCAGTTTCCTGAAGGATTGTGTTTTCAAGAGTTTGTATAAGCAGGTGGGAATGAAAAGAGGACAGACATACTACAGTCATGAGTGCCTTCAAATTGATAGCCAGACTGCAGCATTTGAAAAACACTTGAGATAGAACTACCAAGGTGAACATTACAGTTGGTGACATGTAAATGAGGTTAATGCAAACAAAACTCCAGTTAGTTTTGTTCATTTATGGCTATGCTTTCTGTAACAAAAATTACATAAGGTAACTCGGGATGTATCAAAAACATCACCCCAAAGTCTAGATTATGGAAAACCTATCCTGACATGCAGTCAGTTCTTGAGTGTTCAAGATACCTACACAGAAAAATGTAGTTTCCCAGTGATGTTTCCCAGTTTAAACATTCAAGTGCCTTTGTAAAGGAGGAGTCAATACATGCTTAAAATTAATGAGCTGTGTTTCAGATGAGATAGTTATTATAAGGAGGAAAGGGGGAAAATACTTGAAAGAAATTCACAAAGTGGAATAGTTCAATTTGTT